ACTAGCCGGGCATGGTGGTGGGCACCTGTAGTCCCAGCTACTCGGGAGGCTGAGGCAGGAGAATGGTGTAAACCCAGGAGGCGGAGCTTGCAGTGAGCTGAGATCCGGCCACTGCACTCCAGCCTGGGTGACAGAGTGAGACTCCGTCTCAAAAAAAAAAAAAAAAAAAAAAAAATTAGCCAAGTATGGTGGCCCACACTTGTAATCCCAGCTACTCAGGAGGCTAAGGCAGGAGAATCACTTGAACCTGGGAGGCAGAGGTTGCAGTGATCTGAGACCACACCACTGCACTCCATCCTGGGCAACAGGGTGAGACTCTGTCTCAAAAATAATAATAATAATTTTTAAAAAGTAACTGGGCATGATGGTGTGCACCTGTGGTCCCAGTTACTCAGCTCGGGAGGCTGAGATGGGAGGATTTTTTTTTTTTTTTTGAGACACAGTCTCGCTTTGTCACCCAGGCTAGAGTGCTGGAGTTCAGTGGCGTGGTCTTGGCTAACAGCTACCTCCACCTCCTGAGTTCAAGCAATCCTTCTGTCTCGGCCTTCCAAGTAGCTGGGATTACAGTCACCTGCCACCACGCCCAGCTAATTTTTGTATTTTTAGTAGAGATGGGATTTCATCATATTGGTCAAGCTGGTCTCGAACTCCTGACCTCAGGTGATCCACCCACCTTGGCCTCCCAAAGTGCTGGGATTACAGGCCCAAGCCACTGTGCTGGGCCAGGAGGATATCTTGATCCAAGGAGATCAGTGGTGTGGCTCCAGCCTGGGTGACGGAGGGAGACACTGTCTCAAAACAAAACAAAACAAAACAAAACAAACAAAAAGATTTGAATAGATACTTCATAAGAAGATATGAAAAGATTTGTGGTCAGCCTGGGCAACATAGTGAGACCCAATGGAAAGAAAGAGAAACAGAGAGAGGCAGAGGAAGGAAGAAAGAGACCTGAAAAGATATTCAACATCAGTCATCAGGGAAATGTAAATTAACTTCCCTATCACATAATGTGATAACCCACTGCGTACCTAAAAAAACGGGTAAAATTCTAAAGACTGACCTTACCAAGTGCTGGCAGAAATGTGGAGGAACTAGAACTGTCATACAGCTGGTGGGAAAATAAAATGGGGCAACCTTGTTTTTTTTTTTTGAGATGGAGTCTTGCTCTATCGCCCAGGCTGGAGTGCAGTGGAGCCATCTCGGCTCAGTGGAACCTCCACCTCCGGGTCAAGCCATTCTCCTGCCTCAGCCTCCCGAATAGCTGGGACTGTAGGCGTGTGCCACCATGCCCCACTAATTTTGGATTTTTTTTTTTTTTTGTATTTTTAATAGAGATGGGGTTTCACAGTGTTGGCCAGGCTGGTCTTGAACTCCTGACCTCAGGTGACCCACCTTGGTCTCTCAAAGTGCTGGGACTACAGGTGTGGGCTGCTGCGTCCAGCCAGGAACCAATTCTTTTTTGAGGCACAATGGCTACAAACATCACAAAATGAGAGACAAGCAGGCATTATGATGTTCCTCATGGAAATACACAACACCATGTAAGTAGTCTCATAAAAAAAAAAAAAAAAAATTGGCTGGGCATCGTGGCTCACGCCTATAATCCTAACACTTTGGGAGGCTGAGGCAGGTGGATCACCTGAGGTCAGGAGTTCGAGACCAGCCTGACCAATATGGTGAAATCCCATCTCTACTAAAAATACAAAAATTAGCCAGGCATGTTGGAGGGTGCCTGTAATCCCAGCTACTCAGGAGGCTAAGGCAAGAGAATTGCTTGAACTGGGGAGGTGGAGGTTGCAGTGAGTCAAGATTGTGCCACTGCACTACAGCCTGGGCAAGAGAGTGAGACTCTGTCTCTACAAAAAACAAACAAACAAAGAAAATCAGGCCAGGCACAATGTAATTTCCCTATCACATAATGTGATACCACTGAGTACCTAAAAAAACAGGTAAAATTATAAAGACTGACCTTACCAAGTACTGGTAGAAATGTGGAGGAACTAGAACTGTCATACACCTGGTGAGGTTGGGGGTTGCAGTGAGCTGTGATCACGCCACTGCCTCCAACCTGGGGGACAGAGTGAGACTCCATCTCAAAAAATAAATAAATTTTAAAAATCAGGCCAGGTGCAGTGGCTGACACCTGTAATCCTAGCACTTTGGGAGGCTGAGGCAGGTGGAATGCCTGAGCTCAGGAGTTCAAGACCACCATGGGCAAAACCCCATCTCTACAAAAAATACAAAAAATTAGCTGTGTGTGGTGGCGTGCGCCTGTAGTCCCAGCTACTAGGGGCTAAGGCAGGAAGATAGCTTGAACCCAAGAGGTAGAGGCTGCAGTGAGCTGAGATCGTGTCAGTCACTGCACTCTAGCCTGGGAGACAAAGTGAGACCTTATCTTAAAAAAAAAAAAAAAAAAAAGTCAAACCCAGTCTAATCAAACCTTTTAGATCTAACTACCAATTAGCAGAGAAGACAAGGGGCACAGGGGCCAGGTGTGGTGGCTCACGCCTATAATCCCAGCACTTCGGGAGGCCAAAGCAGGCAGATCAGCTGAGGTCAGGAGTTCGAGACCAACCTGGCCAACATGGTGAAACCTCGTGTCTACTAAAAATACAAAAATTAGCTGGACATGATGGTGGGTGCCTGTAATCCTAGCTACTTGGGAGGCTGAGGCTGGAGAATCCCTTGAACTCAGGAGGCAGAGGTTGCAGTGAGCTGAGATTGCACCATTGTACTCTAGCCTGGACAACTGAGTGAGACTTTGTCTCAAAAACAACAACAACAACAACAACAAATAAAAAGCACAAGGGACACGGGAAGATGTGGAAACAAATCCATAGGGATGCCATCAGCAAAATCCAGACTAGGGAAAATGCCACAGCATAAACCACTTAATTTCTTTCTTTTTAAAAATGTATTATTTAGTTTTTGTAGAGATGGAGTCTTGCTACATTGCCCAGGCTGGAGCACAGTGGCTATTCACAGGCACCATTATTGCGCACTATAGCTTTGAACTTCTGGGCTCAAGGGATCCTCCTGCCTCAGTCTCCCTAATAGTGGGGTTACAGGTGTGCACCCCAAGCCTGACTCTATCTAGTTTCTTAAAAAACAAATATCATAAAATAAAACAGAGAGAAAGAAAGGAAAATGAAAGGAAATGAAAGAAAATAAATTTCAAGTAAAAAAAAAAGTAAACTTGAGAAAAACGATAGATTTTTAAAAGGACTTCCAGTTGCAATGTTCAGTTGAGATCTCAAATTTTTTTTTTCTTGGAGATGGAGTCTCACTCTGTTTGCCCAGGCTGGAATGCAGTGGCACAATCTCGGCTCACTGTAACCTCTCCCTCCCCGGTTCAAGTGATCCTCCTGCCTCAGCCTCCCAAGTAGCTGGAATTACAAGCGCCTACCACCACGCCTGGCTAATTTTTGTATTTTTAGTAGAGACGCGGTTTCACCATGTTGGTCAGGCTGGTCTTGAACTCCTGACCTCAAGTGATCCACCTACCTCAGCCTCTTAGTGCTAGTGCTGGGATTATAGGTCTGAGCCACTGCACCCAACCAAGATCTCAATTCAGACAAACATTTTTGTTTGTTTGTTTTCTGAGCTCTGTCACTTAGAAAAGCAAACTTGTTTTAAGAAGGACATTGGCTGGGCGCGGTGGCTCACACCTGTAATCCCAGCACTTTGGGAGGCCGAGGCGGGCAGATCATGAGGTCAGGAGATCGAGACCACGGTGAAACCCTGTCTCTACTAAAAATACAAAAAATTAGCAGGGCGCGGTGGCGGGCGCCTGTAGTCCCAGCTACTCGGGAGGCTAAGGCAGGAGAATGGCGTGAACCCGGGAGGCAGAGCTTACCGTGAGCCGAGATCGTGCCACTGCACTCCAGCCTGGGAGACTGAGACTCTGTCTCAAAAAAAAAAAGAAGGACATTTTGGCCAGGTGTGGTGGCTCACGCTTGTAATCCCAGAACTTTGGTAGGCCGAGGCGGGTGGATCACTTGAGGTCAGTAGTTCGAAACTAGCCTGGCCAACATGGTGAAACCCCATCTCTACTAAAACTACAAAAATTAGCTGGGTGTGGTGGTGCACGCCTGTAGTCCCAGTTACTCAGGAGGCTGAAGCAGGAGAATCACTTGAACCCGGGAGGTGGAGGTTGCGGTGAGTTGAGATCGTGCCACTGCACTCCAGCCTGGGTGGCAGAATGAGACTCTTGCCTCAAAAAAAAAAAAAAAAAAAAGTTTGAGACCAGACTGACCAACATGGCGAAACCCCGTCTCTACTAAAAATACAAAACATTAGCTGGGCATAGTGGTGCCCGCGTGTAATCCCAGCTACTCAGGAGGCTGAGGCAGGAGAATCGTGTGAACCCTAGAGGCAAAGTGAGCTGAGATAGCGCCATTGCACTCAGCCTGGGTGACAAGAGCAAAACTCTGTCTCAAAAAAAAAAAGAAAAAAAAAGAAAAAAAAAGAAGGACTTTTTTTTCATTTAGATGAGTGTAAACAGTAATTCATATTTGATATTAAGAAAGTATTTTTTTGGGGTCGAAGTGACGGTTTTGTGTGTGTATGAAACATAATGTATACGTATTAAAAAGGGAATGCTTGTCCTCTAAAGACATATACTGAAATATTTACTGGTGAGGACACATGGTGTCTGGTATTTACTTCAAAATAAGGCTGGGCAGCGAGTGCGAGGTAGGTGCAGAAACACAGGAAACAGACTGCCCCGTGGGTCGTGTAACTGCTGAGGTCGGATAGCGACTCTACGCGGCTTCATCAGGTATATCTTGAAATTTTCTGTATATCTTGAAATTTTCTACAATAAAAATGTCTTAAAATTGTGCGTCAAAATAACACGAATATAAAAAAATGCAATTTAAAAGTCAGGAGGCAATCCTGTCGTGCAAAACCGTGACGCTAGCTGTGTGAGGGCGGCAGGATGAATCATTTCCTCCTTCGTTTCTACATTTTCTGTCTACATACTTTTAATATTTCTCTTATAATGAGAAATACCAAAACTCGGGGTGAGACGGGGAGACACTAGTGTTTTTGCCCTCTCTGTCCCCGAGGAGACTGTTCTCATCTATTCTCTCCCCCACGTCCTCCAGGTTTTTGCTAGGCTTCCTGCCATCTTTACCAAGTTGAGATTATCCGTGTTCTGTCATTAACAGAGTTTAAGGAAAGCGCGTCAAATTCACCGCGCCCTAACCTTGGACCCCGCCTGCAGGCTGACTTTCGAGCCACACGCCAGAGCACGGAGCGACCCCTAAGGTCGCAGCCCGGCTTCGCAAGCCGCCTCCTTCTAACGCGTCCGTCGCCCTCGCGCGCCCGCGAGCAGCCGGACTACATCTCCCAGGAGGCTGTGCGCCGTCCAGCGGACCTGCCCTTGGTCGCAAAGGACTACATTACCCAGTGATACCTTGCGGGAGGCGGTTGCCAGACCTCAAGCGCAAAACCATTGGTCCAGGGTCTGGCGGGGAGCTGCGCGGTGATTGGCCCAGGAGACCGCCACTTTCGTCCGAGCTCAGTAGAGTTTTGCGGTTAAGACTGCGCGAGGTACTACAGAGCAGAGCGCGCGTAGCCGGGCCGCACCCGCCGAGCCGTGTGAGTAACCTCTACCTCCGTCCTTCTCGCCGTCCTCTCGGGGACCTGCACCCTTGCTCCGCAGGGCGGTAGGGAGGGAGCACACGCACCCGGGCGCTTACGAGGGGGCGGGGACTGTGTACACACGTGTCACACCTGACCCGAGAAGCATCTCCAGGGACACTGGCTGCAGAGCCCCGCGCACGCCCTTGAGCACCTGAGCTCCAGGGCGTCCCGTCGGACTTGGGGAGAAAAAACAAACCCCGAGGCACACGTGGACACCTAAGTACCCACGCGGGGACCTCTGCAGAGCTGCTCAGCTGAACCCTTGGGCACATGGGCACCCGAACATCGGGAAGAGCCTGCTATGCTCCGGTCTCCTCTTGACACCGATCCAGGACACCTGCCACTCGGGCTTGCTCCTCCTTCCTGCCCAGATGGGCGGGAAACTGACACTGCTCTGTGTGACCTGAGCGGTCCCTGGGTAACCCCTGGAGAGGTTTTGCCTCTCAGTCGCTTGCCACATGTTTAAACTTCCTCATGGGCGCTTGGGGAGGAGTTCCAGGGTGGGTGAGAGGAGACAAGGAATTGATGTCTGGGGTGGAGGCTGTCATCCTGTAGGCAGTATCCCCCCTCCTCCCCCACCCCCACCCCCGCTAATACAAGTATTCAAGAACTAAGGTAATTTTGAGGTCTAGTTTTAGGGATTTTTTTTTTTCCATAACAAATTCAAACAATATAGAGTTACATCGACAGGTCTACCTTCCTTCTTCCCTTCCCAGCCCTTCTCCCAGTGATCAATTACCTGTTGATGTGTGTGTGGTTACAGACTTCTTTTTATGCTTTGTACAACTCTACAGAGCGCATATAGGTATTACTGTTTTTTTGTTTTTGTTTTCTGTTTTTACAAAAAAAGGAAAAGAGTACATCTCCTGGAAAGGATGCTTTTTAGCCGAGCTCTGGTGGATGAGAGGAGCTAGCCTTGAAAAAGTGAGTAGGGGCTGAGATGGGGCTGCATTTCAGACGTAGGGAACTGGAGGAGTACAGGCAAGGCAGTAGATAGGAGCGCTCGCCGAGTTTTCCAGGAACTGGGCAGAAGCAGTCAGACCACTCTGTTTAAGTGAGGGAAGGGGAAGAATGGTCCAGAGGGAGGCTGAAGAGGTCAGTAGGTGTGAGGGGAGCCCAGGAGCGTCATTTTCTTTCTTTCTTTCTTTCTTTTTTTATTTTTTTTGAGACGGAGTCTCGCTCTGCGGCCCAGGCTGGAGGTGCAGTGGTGCGATCTTGGCTCACTACAAGCCCATGTTAGGCAGGATGGTCTCGATCTCCTGACCTCATGATCTGCCCGCTTTGGCCTCCCAAAGTGCTGGGATTACAGGCCTGAGCCACGCGCTCGGTACTTCTTTGTTTTGTTTTGGTTTTTTGTTTCTGAGACAGAGTCTCACTCTGTCGCCCAGGCTGGAGTGCAATGGCGCCATTTCAGCTCACTGCAACCTCCGCCTCCCAGGCTCACATGATTCTCCCTCCTCAGCTTCCCCAGTAACTGGGATTGCAGGCGCCCGCCACCACACCCAGCTAATTTTGTATTTTTAGTAGAGACAGGGTTTCACCATATTGGCCAGGCTGGTCTTGAACTCCTGACCTCAGCTGATCTGCCTGCTTTGGCCTCCGAACGTGCTGGGATTATAGGCATGAGCCACCGCGCCTGGCCAGAAGCATCATTTGCTAGCATAGCATGGCCCCACTGTGCCGGGGAGGCCTGAGGTGTGTGCAGAAGGGGAAAGGGAAAGGTTAAGGGGCTCAGGGCCTCAGGGCTCTTCCTTTGGACAGTGGGGGATTGTTAAAGAATCCCAATCCCTGTTCTAAGCCCTACATGTCCTTCAGTCCCTCAGCATTACACTTGAGTGGGCTCACTCAGTGAGCAGGAGTTTGCTATAAATTTGCCAGATGTCTTGGAAAGCCAGTTGCTCTCTGGGACCAACAGTTGCCTATCAAGCCTGTTCATTCAATTCTCAAATATTGTTAAGCACTTACCATGATGAGTTCTATTCCAGGAACTGGAAATTTACGAGTGAACAAATGAGACCAAGGCCATGTTTCCATGGGCTTACATTCTAGTCAGGGAGAGAGACAAGAAACAAATGTACTGTATAAATAACCCATGGTGCACTGAGCACTGTGGCTCATGCATGTAATCTCAACAATTCAGGAGGCTGAGGCAGGAGAATCACTTGAGGCCAGGAGTTCGAGACCAGCCAGGGCAACATATTGAGACCTTATCTCTACAAAAATAAAAAAACTTAGCCAGGCCTGCACCTGTAAGTCCCAGCTAATTGGGAGGCTGAGGCAAGAGAATCACTTGAGCCCGGGAGTTCAAGGCTGCAGTGAGTTATGGCACCACTGCATTCCAACCTGGGCGACAGAGTGAGACCCTGTCTCTAAAAAAGTAAACGAATATGCCATAGTAATAAGTACTGTAAAGAACAATAAAACAAATGCTATTTTATTTTATTTTTAAATTTTTGTATTTTTTGTAGAGTTGAGGTTTTGCAGTGTTGCCCAGGCTGGTCTTGAACTCCTGAGCTCTTGAACTCCTGGAGTTCCTGACTTGAACTCCAGTCTAGTCAGGGAGGGCTGCTCTCAGGAGGTGGTATTTGAGCAGAGACCATAAGAAACTTGCCTGGTGTTTATTCCGTATCTCTTGCATTTAGCTTGATACTGATGGACATTGTGTGGGCCAGAGGCAGGGATGGTTGGCTATGACCCCAAACCAGATGGCAGGAATAACACCAAGCTCCAGGTGGCAGTGGCTGGGTCTGTGTCTGGACTTGTCACTCGGGCGCTGATCAGTCCCTTCGACGTCATCAAGATCCGTTTCCAGGTACTGTTCCCCTTTTTCCATGCAATGGACTGGAGGACAAGTTTAGTCTTTCTTGCAAAAGCAGTTCCTAAAACTTGGAATTCTATCCAGATGAAGGGCTTGCCTTTTCTGAAAGTTCCCCTTCACATTCCAGCCCACCCCGCTGTCCTGACCTTTTTTATTTTGATTCCCAGCTTCAGCATGAGCGCCTGTCTCGAAGAGACCCCAACGCAAAGTACCATGGCATCTTCCAGGCGTCTAGGCAGATTCTGCAGGAGGAGGGGCTGACAGCTTTCTGGAAAGGACACATCCCAGCTCAGATTCTCTCCATAGGCTATGGAGCTGTCCAAGTAGGTGGCAGGGGACCTGGTCAGGCCTCTGGGGTCACGTTGCTCAATGGAGGAGCAGAGGGAGGGTGAGGCAAGCAGGAATGCGGCGTAGGGCAGGACGGGAGAGGCAGGCCCCACGCTTCCCACCTGCCTCACCCAGGAGCCTTCCTGACCAGCTGTACTGTAGGCATTCCCCTCCCCTATGTCCCCGCATCTATCCTGTGTAACTTAGATGCTGCATCTTGGAGACTGATTTGATGTCATGCCTTCTGTGGGGCTTGGCGAAGGACAGCACTAATGCATTTCAATTTTTGAAATACCACCTTCACATATGTGGTTCATCTGAACTTCACCACGCCATCATGAGGAGGGCAGGGTAGGTGTCATGTGGATCTCAGGGAGGTGAAGTCAGCGGTCTGAGGCCACACAGCCTGCACATGGCAGGGCTAGGGTTAGAGCTCACGCTTCGTTCAGTGGAGCACCAGTATAGTCATAGTGCACAGCGTGTGATTTTATGCAGTAGACATGGTAAGAACCAGCCCTGTACAGTGCAAACCATGGGCCAGGCCCCTGTTGGAAGCACTTCACATACAGTCACAGCAGTCCTTAAGGTAGGGGCTGTTGTCCCTCCCATGTCACACATGAGAAGACTGAGGTGGACAGAGCTTACATAATTAACCCAACCAAAGTCACTAGCCAGAAAATGGCAGAGCCACGACCCCCACCTAGGCAGCTAGTGCCAGAGATGTCCCTGCCTACTCCTCCTGTGACATCACAGTGACCGCCCAAGTCAGGTGTTTACTGGCTGGGCATGTCCTGCGATCCTGTCTCTGCACTTGTCTGCAAACAGATATTGCAGCATGACAAATAAATACAGCAACAGGATAGTCTCAAGAAGCCAGGTCTGGGCCGGACTCGGTGACTCATACCTGTAATCCCAGCACCTGAGCCCGGGAGGTGAGGTAGAGGTTGCAGTGAACCACGATCATGCCACTGCACTTTAGCCTGGGCGACACAGCCAGACCCCGTCTCAAAAAAAAGAAAAGAAGCCAGGTCATCTTCAGTTGGCTGAAGGAAGATCTGAGCATAGCCCTGGTATAGTGGCTCACACCTGTAATCCCATCACTTTGGGAGGCTGAGGTGGGAGGATGGCTTGAGCTCAGGAGTTTGAGACCAGCCTGGGCAACATAGCGAGACCTCCTCTCTACTAAAATAAAAAAAAAAATTAGCCAGGTATGGTGGTACACACCTCTAGCCCCAGTTATTCCAGATGCAGGAGAATAATTTGAGCTAGAGAAGTCAAGGCTGCTGTGAACTATGATCGAGCTGCTGCACTTCAGCCTGGGCAACTGAACGTGACCTTGTCTCAAAAAGCAAAACAGGGCCAAGCTCGGTGGCTCATGTGTGTAATCCCAGCACTTTGGGAGCCCAAGGCAGGCAGATCGCTTGAACTCAGGAGTTTGAGACCAGCCTTGGCAACATAGTGGAACCCTGGTTCTACAAAAAATCCTAAAATTAGCTGGACATGGTGGCATGCACCTGTAGTCCCAGCTACTTGAGGGGCCGATGTGGGAGGATCACTGGAGTCCAGGAGGTGGAGGCTGCAGCAAGCCGTGTTTGTGCCACTGTACTCCAGCCTGGGTGACAGAGCGACACTCTCGTCTCTAAAAAACAAAAACAAAAAAAGAAAACAAAGATCTGAATGTAAGGGGGCCACCCTGTTGAACATGCTCCCGAAAGAATGTGCCCCAGAAAAGAATGATTCTCGAACAGTGCCGCCGCCAGCTGCACGGAAGGGAGCCCTGCAGGAATCAGAGCATGGCCGTCTTTCCCAGTCCTCAGAAAACTAAGTTAGCCAGTGACATTTTCTGATATACATTTTTCTCATGTATCTTTTATTTATTTATTTTTTCTTGAGACGGAGTCTCACTCTGTCTCCCAGGATGGAGTGCAGTGGCGCGATCTTGGCTCACTGGAACCTCCGCCTCCCAGGTTCAAGCGATTCTTCTGCCTCAGCCTCCCAAGTAGCTGGGGTTACAGGCACATGCCACCACACCTGGCTAATTTTTGTATTTTTAGTAGAGACGGGGTTCCACCATATTGGCCAGTCTGGTCTCCAACTCCTGACCTCATGATCTGACCGCCTCAGCCTCCCAAAATGCTGGGATTACAGACGTGAGCCACTACACCCAGTCTTTTCTTTGAGACCGAGTCTTGCTCTGTCGCCCTGGCTGGAGTGCAGTGGCATGATCTCGGCTCAGTGCAACCTCTGCCTCCCGGGTTCAAGTGATTCTCCTGCCTCAGTCCCCCGAGTACCTGGGACTACAGGCGCCCGCCACCATGCCCAGCTAATTTTTGTATTTCTATTAGAGACAGGGTTTCACTATGTTAACCAGGCTGGCCTCGAACTTCTGTCCTCGTGATCCGCCTGCCTCGGCCTCCCAAAGTGCTGGGATTACAGGCGTGAGCCACTGCCCCTGGCCCCCATATATCTTCTTAAACCTTTGAGTGTCTGACTCTACTCAAGTATCAAATGGCATCTGAGTTTTACATAGAATTTTATATTTATCATATGCTGTCACTGCTCAAGAAGAACATTTCAGGCCGGGCGTGGTGGCTCAAACCTGTAATCCCAGCACTTTGGGAGGCCGAGACGGAAACCCGGGAGGCGGAGCTTGCAGTGAGCTGAGATCCGGCCACTGCACTCCAGCCTGGACGACAGAGCGAGACTCCGCCTCAAAAAAAAAAAAAAAAAAAGAAGAACATTTCCTGACCTTTTCCTCCTCCCTCCACCTGGGCCCCAACCAGGTCACAGGTGATGTGTTTGGGGAGTATTTGGTCCTCGCCCTCATCCTTTGGGCTGTCAGTGACTTCTTCACTTACTCTTCCAGTTCTTGTCGTTTGAAATGCTGACGGAGCTGGTCCACAGAGGCAGTGTGTACAACGCCCGGGAATTCTCAGTGCACTTTGTGTGTGGTGGCCTGGCTGCCTGTACGGCCACCCTCACTGTGCACCCCGTGGATGTTCTGCGCACCCGCTTTGCAGCTCAGGGTGAGCCCAAGGTGAGTGACCAGGGGCCAGATGAGGTAGCCCAAATAAGGAAGGTGTTGTCACAAGGGTTGCATTCTTTATTTTTTATTTATTTGTTTTTGTTTTGTTTTGTGCTCACTGCAAGCTCCACCTCCCGAGTTCAAGCGATTCTCCTGCCTCAGCCTCCTGAGTAGCTGGGACTACAGGCACCCGCAACCACGCCTGGCTAATTTTTTTGTATTTTTAGTAGATACGGGGTTTCACTGTGTTAGCCAGGATGGTCTTGATCTCCTGACCTCGTGATCTGCCTGCCTTGGCCTCCCAGAGTGCTGGGATTACAGGCGTGAGCCACCGCACCTGGCCTAGAATTTATTTATTTATTTATTTACTTAGAGACGGAGTCTCGCTCTGTTGCCAGGCTGGAGTGAAGTGGTACGATCTCGGCTCACTGCAACCTCCAACTCCCTGGTTCAAGCGATTCTCCTGCCTCAGCCTCCCGAGTAGCTGGGATTACAGGCACATGCCACCATGCCCAGCTAATTTTTGTATTTTTAGTAGAGATGGGGTTTCACCATGTTGGCCAGGATGGTCTCAATCTCCTGACCTCATGATCCGCTCGCCTCGGCATCCCAAAGTGCTGGGATTACAGGCATGAGCCACTGCTCCCAACTTATTTTTTTCTTTTATTTGATAAGCGTGTGTTTTTAAATATATATAATATACATTTATATATGTGTGTGTGTATGTATATACACATATATATAATTTTCATTTTCATTTTTATTTATTTTATTTATTTTTATTTTTTTTCTTGAGACGGAGTCTCGCTCTGTTGCCAGGCTGAGGTGCAGTGGTGCGATCTCGGCTCACTGCAGCCTCCACCTTCCAGGTTCAAGCAATTTTCCTGCTTCAGCCTCCTGAGTAGCTGGGATTACAGGCATCTGCCATCATGCCCGGCTAATTTTTGTATTTTTTAGTAGAGACGAGGTTTCACCATGTTGGCCAGGCTGGTCTCGAATTCCTGGCCTCAAGCGATCCACCCGCCTCAGCCTCCCAAAGTGCCAGGATGACAGGCGTGAGCCGCCGCACCCGGCCTATATATATATTTTTTGAGACAACATCTTGTTTTATTGCCCAGGCTGCAGTGTAGTGGCACGATCACTGCTCACTGCAGCCCCGACCTCCTGGGATCAAGTGATCTTTCTGCCTCAGCCTCCCCAGTAGCTGAGACTACACCTGGCTAAGTTTTGTATTTTTTTAAGAGATGGGGTTCCGTCATGTTGCCCAGGCTGGTCTCGAACTCTTTTTTTTTTTTTTTGAGACGGAGTCTCGCTCTGTCGCCCAGGCTGGAGTGCAGTGGCTGGATCTCAGCTCACTGCAAGCTCTGCCTCCCGGGTTCACGCCATTCTCCTGCCTCAGCCTCCCAAGTAGCTGGGACTACAGGCGCCCACCACCTCGCCCGGCTAGTTTTTTGTATTTTTAGTAGAGACGGGGTTTCACCGTGTTAGCCAGGTTGGTCTCAATCTCCCGACCTCGTGATCCACCTGCCTCAGCCTCCCAAAGTGCTGGGATTACAGGCGTGAGCCACCGCGCCCGGCCTTTTTTTTTTTTTTTTTTTGAGACGGAGTCTCGCTCTGTCGCCCAGGCTGGAGTGCAGTGGCGCGATCTCAGCTCACTGCAAGCTCCGCCTCCCGGGTTCACGCCATTCTCCTGCCTCAGCCTCCCAAGAAGCTGGGCTGACAGGTGCCTGCCACCATGCCCGGCTAATTTTTTGTATTTTTTAGTAGAGACGGGGTTTCACCGTATTCGCCAAGATGGTCTCGATCTCCTGACCTCCTGATCTGCCCACCTCGGTCTCCCAAAGTGCTAGGATTACAGGTGTGAGCCACCACGCCCGGTCTAGTCTCGAACTCTTGAGCTCAAGCCATCTGCCAGCCTCGGCCTCCCAAAATGCTGGGATTACAGGCATGAGCCACCGCACTCCACAGAGGTTGAGTTCTTGTCCTTGCAGAAAGCAAAGCTGGGAGAGATTTGGGTTTTCAGTTTGTCTGGCAGTTTGTAAAACCCATGACTGTGGGCAGCATGGTGCAGGGTGCTCTATGTCCCTCCCTCAAAGGAGCTCACAGCCTCCCTGAGAGACAGAACCTACCGGTATGAAACAGAACAAATAAATACCCAGCAGTGGGCTGGATCAAGGACTGCATCTGGGAAAGTGGGACTGGAGAACTTATTGCTGGATTATTATGAGAGCGTCTTTGTTTTTTTGTTTGTTTGTTTGGTTGGTTTTTTGAGACAGTCTCACTTTGTTGCGCAGGCTGGAGTGCAGTGGCGCAGCTCACCATAACCTCTGCCTCCCGGCTTCAAGCGATTCTCCTGTCTCAGCCTCCTGAGTAGGTGGGATTATAGGCACGTGCCACCATGTCTGGCTAATTTTTATATTTTTTTATAGAGACAGGGTTTCACTGTGTTGGCCAGGCTGGTCTTGAACTTTTGACCTCAGGTGATCCCCGGCCTCGGTCTCCCAAAATGCTAGGATTCCAGGCGTGAGCCGCCGCACCCGGCCAATTCCAAGTGTCTTTGGTTTCCACAAAGAATGGGGTGGTAGAAATAGGATAGACTCGAGGAAGAATTTACTGAGTGAAAACAAGGGATTAAATCCTGAAATAGACCTCCCCACTGTATTGTTTCCTAGACATATTTAAGAATAGCATCATATGTGTGTGTGTCTGTGTGTTCTCAACCAAGAAAGAATCATTTTATTGTTATTATTTGTATATATATTTTGAGACAGGGTCTTGATCTTTCACCCAGGCGGGAGTACAATGGCTGCAATAGCTTGCTGCAGCTTTGAACTCCTGGGCTCAAGCAATCTTCCTGCCTCAACCTCTCAAGTAGCTAAGACCACAGGTGTGTGCCACTACACCTGACTAATTTTTTATGTTTTTATTTTTTGTAGGGACAGGGTCTCATTATGTTGCTCAGTTGTTCAGGCTCAGGCTGGTCTTGAACTCCTGGTTGTTTTTGTTTATTTGTTTCTGAGATGGAGTCTCGCTCTGTCACCCAGGCTGGAGTGCAATGGCACAATCTCAGCTCACTGCAACCGCCTCCCAGATTCAAGCAATTCTCATGCCTCAGGCTTCCAAGCAGCTGGGACTACAGGTCTGCCACCCTGCCCGGCTAATTTTTTTTTTTTTTTTTTTTTTGAGACAAAGTCTTACTCTGTCACCCAGGCTGGAGTGCAGTGGCATGATCTTGACTCACTGCAACCTCTGCCCCCCGGTTTCACGTGATTCTCCTGCCTCAGCCTCCTGAGTAGCTGGGATTATAGGTGCCTGCCACCGCGCCCGGCTAATTTTTGTATTTTTAGCAGAGACGGGGTTTTGCCTTGTTGACCAGGCTGGTCTTGAACTCCTGACCTTGTGATCCACCCGCCTCTGTCTTCCAAAGTGCTGAGATTACAGGTGTGAGCCACCATGCCTGGCCATGCCTGGCTAATTTTTATATTTTTAGTAGAGACAGGTTTTTGCCATGTTGGCCAGGCTGGTCTGGAACTTCTGGCCTCAAGAGATCTGCCCGCCTAAACCTCCCAAAATGCTGGCATTACAGGCATGAGTCACCACGCCTGGTCTTTTTTTCTTTATTTTTAGTACAGAGTCTCACTCTGTCATCCAGGCTGAAGTATAGGGGTATAATTACAGCTCCTGGGGTCAAGCAATCCTCCCACCTCAGCCTCCCAAGTAGCTGGGACCATAGGTGCTCAGTGCCACACCTGGCTAATTTTTGTATTTTTTGTAGAGATGGGGTTTCACCATGTTGCACAGGCTGTTCTCGAACCCCTAGGCTCAAGCGATCCTCCTGCCTTGGCCTCCCAAAGTGCTGCAGTTATAGGGCTGAGCTGCCACAGGTGGCTGAGAAACAATAATTTTTCCACTGTCTCAACTCTGTTTAGGATACTGTTAGTGGAAAGGAAGGATACTTTGTTTAAGAGTTTGATCTGGGCAACATGGCTCTCTACAAGATACAAAAAAATTAGCCAGGCATGGTGGAATGCACCTGTAGTCCCAGCTGCTTGGGAGACTGAGTTGGGAGGATTGCTTGAGCCTGGGGAGTGAGCCATGATTGCACCATTGCACTCCAGCCCGGGCCACAAAGTGAGATATCCTGTCTCAAAAAAAAAAAAAATAGAATTTGATCTGGACCAGTGCAGAATAATTGTGGATTCAGTTCTGCCAGTTCTTTGTATTGGTTGGCGTGCAGGTCCTGGGTGGGGAGGCCCTTTTGTTTAGGAGACAGCCTCATGACTTGTTTTGGTTGAGAAGGGCAAAGTCCCCTGGGAACAATCCGAAGGAAAAGGATTGGGGCAGGATGGCGGCCGTGGAAGTTGAAATCCACTAAGGAGTATGTCACAACTCACCTGCCAAAAAAAAGAAAAAGAAAACAATTGTAGGCCAGGCGCAGTGGTTCACACCTGTAATCCCAGAACTTTGGGAGGGCGAGGCGGGTGGATCACTTGAGGTCAGGAGTTCGAGACCAGCCTTGCCAACATGGTGAAACCCCGTCTCTACTAAAAATACAAAAATTAGCTGAGCGTGGTAACACGCCTGTAATCCCAGCTACTCAGGAGGCTGAGGCAGGAGAATTGCTTGAACCCAGGAGGTGGAGGTGTGGCGAGCTGAGATCATACCACTGCACTCTAGCCTGGGCGACAGAGCAAAACTCCATGTAAAAGAAAAAAAGAAAACAATTGGGGCATAAGAGGTCAATTGCTCTGTATGATAACTCAGTAGAAAACTGGAAGTTTGGGATGACAGTCGTTGCAGGGAAATGGGATGAGGGACCCTAGGAACTGAAAGCAGAAATGGAGGGGAAGGTGTTTACACAGAGAGAGCACAGACCAACCTCCGCAGCGTGGTAGCCCCAGAGCTGAGGCAGAGATGGCTCCTGTCAGTCCAGCTTTCCTGTTCTGGGTCTACCATAATCCTCCTGTATTTCTTTCCAACCTTCAGTAAAAGTCTGTGAGGAGGAAGAAGTGAAGAAAATATTAAGAAAAGAGAATGAGCTAATAGCTATTATCTTAGCTATTTGGGAGGCTGAGGCAGGAGGATGGCTGGAGCCCATGAGTTCAAGGCTGCAGTGTGCCATGACTGTGCCTGTGAATGGCCATTGCACTATAGCCTGAATGATGTAGTGAGACCCCATCTCTTTATTATTTAAAAATTTTAAAAAAAAATTTTTTTTTGGCCAGGGCGCGGTGGCTCATGCCTGTAATCCCAGCACTTTGGGAGGCTGAGGCGGGCGGATCACAAGGTCAGGAGATGGAGACAATCCTGGCTAACACGGTGAAACCCCATCTCTACTAAAAATACAAAAAACTAGCTGGGCATGGTGGTGGGCACCTGTAGTCCCAGCTACTCGGGAGGCTGAGGCAGGAGAATGGCGTGAACCTGGGAAGTGGAGCTTGCAGTGAGCTGAGATCATGCCACTGGACTCCAGCCTAGGTGACAGAGCGAAACTCCGTCTCAAAAAAATAATAATAACAAATAAATAATTTTTTTTAGGCCAGGTACGGTGGCTCACATCTGTAATCTCAACACTTTGGGAGGCTGAGGCAGGCAGATCACCTAAGGTCAAGAATTTGAAACCAGCCTGGCCAACATGATGAAACCCCCGTCTCTACTAAAAATACAAAAATTAGTTGGGCGTGGTGTCAGGTGCCTATAATCACAGCTACTGGGGGAGGGGGGCTGAGGCATGACAATCGCTTGAACCTGGGAGGTGGGGGCTGCAATGAGGCAAGATTGTGCCACTACACTCCAGCCTAGGCAACACAGCAAGACTCCATCTCAAAAAAAAAGATAATAGCATATTACCTCTAGCTTAAACTATGGACATGTTGGATTTTAGATTCTAGAATGATCAGAGAATATCTGGTCATGAAAGTGAGGGGAAGAGACCTGGTTAAAACCTACAAGACCCTCCACCTGCTTTAGACTAGTCACAACCATATTGTAAACTGACCTTGCGTGATAAAAAATTTTACAACATATAAAGTGTATCAAGGTTACAAAGACAGTTCTTCATGAATTATAATTTTTAAAAATACCAGCTGCTCCCTGATTCCGATCCCCAGAGGTGACTACTTTTAATACTTACAGTTGTTTCTTTGATTATTTCCTTCCATAATTCTAAGTAACATGCTTGGCCAGGTGCAGTGGCTCATGCCTGTAATCCCAGCACTTTGGGAGGCCAAGGAGGAAGGATCATTTGAGGTCAGGAGTTCGAGACCAGTTTAAGCAACATAGCAAGACCTCCTCTCTACTTTATTTTTATTTATTTATTTTTGTTTTTGAGATAGAGTCTCCGCCTTTCACCCAGGTTGGAGTGCCATGGTACAATCTCAGCACACTGCAACCTCTGCCTCACAGGTTTAAGCAATTCTTGTGCCTCAGCCTCCCAAGAAGCTGGGATTACAGGCATGAGCCACCACACCTGGCTAATGTTTGTATTTTTAGCAGAGATGGGCTTTCACCATGTTGGCCAGGCTGGTCTCAAACTCCTGGCCTCAAGTGATCTGCCTGCCTCTGCCTCCCCCAAAGTGCTGGTATTATAGGCATGAGCCACTGCGCCCGGCCGCACCATCCTGTTTTAACAGCTGCACTATGTTCTTGTGAGCTGGTGTCCCGTAATTCATGTAACCATCACCCACAGATGGACATCGCATCTTTAGCTCTTCCCCAGAACACTGCAGTGACTCTTGGACACATACCTTTGTGCACACCTGTGGATAGAACAGTGGTATACATGTGTAGAAGGGGAAGTTTCTGGAAAATGCCACTCTTTGAATCTCTGTCCAGCGTTTTCCTTGACTGTCTTCCTGGCAGGAGTTTCGCTCCTGGTAACTGGGTTTTTAGGCGAGGGGACAGAGCTATGATGGGCTGTTCCAGGGCTAAAATCACCTCACTGAGATCATTCAAAGTGCGTGTGTGTGTCCAGGTCTATAATACGCTGCGCCACGCCGTGGGGACCATGTATAGGAGCGAGGGCCCGCGGGTTTTCTACAAAGGGTTGGCCCCCACCTTGATCGCCATCTTCCCCTACGCCGGGCTGCAGTTCTCCTGCTACAGCTCCTTGAAGCACCTGTACAAGTGGGCCATGCCAGCCGAAGGAAAGAAAAATGGTGAGGCAGCCCTCACGCGAGAGGGAACCCTCCCACCCTAGCCGCCAGAATGCCCTCTTCCAAATCACGAGGGAGCTAAAGTTCTGTCCAAATCGAAGACTGTGGGTCTCTGTACCCGGCTCTGTAATGTGGCAAACAAAGCAACTGCAGCTGCTTGGAGAGAACTTGATTCCTCCCAGCTCATGCCACACCCATCACTGGCATTACTGACATTTACTTCCCGTGATTGGTCATGGTTTTCATTTTTGTCTGAAATCCAATTGCAAATTACTTGTTTTTTGGTTGAGGTTCTTCCATTGCTTTTTCCAGGCAGGGGGAGCGGGAGGTGTGGGCAGGGAGAGGCTGGAGAGAGGTGGGGCATCCTGGTCCCTCTCCAGCCCTAAACTGAGTCATGCTGCAGAGCCTGAGGCCCACGTTGCCTCCAGCTGAGGGACTACGGCCTCCAGCCCTTCCAGCCCGGATCACTCCGCCAGAAGTGGCTATGTCTGGCTTTTTGGAATGGGAGGACCAGTGGAGTCAGATAGAAGTGCGCTTGTGGGGTTTGGTTTGTGGTGGAGGATTAGCCCTGCTGCCTTTTAAGTTGTCGCCCATAGACTGCGTTTGTCTCATCCGTTCTCCCAATCCCACTTCTCTGGTTCAGAGAACCTCCAAAACCTGCTTTGTGGCAGTGGAGCTGGTGTCATCAGCAAGACCCTGACATATCCGCTGGACCTCTTCAAGAAGCGGCTACAGGTTGGAGGGTTCGAGCACGCCAGAGCTGCCTTTGGCCAGGTGAGCCATTCATTCCCGGGCAGACAGCTCTGACCCTTGCCATCACTGGGCACATGAGGGAACCAGTAGTCACCTGCTACCCATTGGGCAACATTACCCCTGACCATGGCCCCTTCACCTCCAGTCTATCCCTGGAGATCCCCAAGCATGTGGGAAAGCTGCATGCGAGCCCTGGGTCCTCAGCACTGTGGAAGGATCTGGGCCAAGGACATATAGTGTCTGCTCTTTTTTATTTTCTTTAAAATAGAGGCAGGGTCTCACTCTGTTTCCCCAGCTGGTGTTGAACACTCCTGACTCCCCCTCCCAGTGTGCTGGAATTACAGGTGTGAGCCACCGCACCTAGCCCAGTTTCTGCTCTTAAAACATGTCCTGGCCGGGCGCGGTGGCTCACGCCTGTAATCCCAGCACTTTGGGAGGCCAAAGCGGGCAGATCACGAGGTCAGGAGAGTGAGACCATCCTGGCTAACACGGTGAAAGCCCATCTCTACTAAAAAAACATAAAAACAAAAAAATTAAATGAGCATGGTGGCGGGCACCTGTAGTCCCAGCTACTCAGGATGCTGAGTCAGGAGAATGGTGTGAACCTAGGAGGCGGAGCTTGTAGTGAGCTGAGATCACGCCACTGCACTCCAGCCTGGGCAACAGAGCAAGACTCCATCTCAAAAAAAAAACATATCCAGAGGCTAGGTGTGGTCGTGGTGTCTCACACCTGTACTCCCAGCATTTTGGGAGGCCAAGGCTAGTGGATCACCTGACGTCAGGAGTTCGAGACCAGCCTGATCAACATGGTAAATCGCCGTTTCTACTAAAAATATAAAAATTAGCTGGGCATGGTGGTGGGCGCCTGTAGTCCCAGCTACTCGGGAGAGTGAAATAGGAGAATCGCTTGAACCTGGGAGGCAGATGTTACAGTGAGCCGCGATCACACCACTGCACTCCAGCCTGGGTGACAGAGACTACGTCTCAAAAAAAACAAAAAAAACAAAACATGTCCAGTACAGTGTGGACGTAGAATACATTCACATAGGGAAGGTCCCCAAATATTAAAGAACACAGAAAAGGGGTTTTGCTGTAGCTGTTCTGGAATGGGGTGAATTTGAGGAACTAAGTTATATATATGTATTTTTTTGTTTTTGCTTTTTGTTTTTGTTTTGAAATGGAGTTTTGCTCTTGTTGCCCAGCCTGGACTGCAATGGCGTGATCTTGGCTCACTGCAACCTCCGCCTCCTGGGTTCAAGCAATTCTCCTGCCTCAGCCTCCCAAGTAGCTGGGATTACAAGTGCTTGCCACCACACCCAGCTAATTTTTTGTATTTTTAGTGGAGACAGGGTTTCACCATGTTAGCCAGACTGGTCTCGAACTCCTGACCTCAGGTGATCCACCTGCCTCAGCCTCCCAAAGTGCTGGGATTACAGGCATGAGCCACTGTGCCCAGCCATATATTTTTTGAGACGGAGTCTCACTCTTTTGTCCAAGCTGGAGTGCAGTGGCGTGATCTCGGCTCACTGCAGCCTCCGCCTCCCTGGTTCAAGCGATTCTCCTGCCTTAGCCTCTGAGTAGCTGGGATTACAGGCGCCTGCCACCATGTCCTAATTTTTGTATTTTTAGTAGAGACAGGGTTTCACCATGTGAGATGGGGTTTCACCACATTGGCCAAGGTGGTCTCGAACTCCTGACCTCAGTTGATCCGTCTGCCTCAACCTCCCAAAGTGCTGGGATTACGGGCATGAGCCGCCGCACCCAGGCCAAAGTTGTTTTTTTTTTTTTTTTGAGACAGAGTCTCGCTCTGTCGCCCAGGCTGGAGTGCAGTGGCCGGATCTCAGCTCACTGCAAGCTCCGCTTTCCGGGTTTACGCCATTCTCCTGCCTCAGCCTCCCGAGTAGCTGGGACTACAGGCGCCCGCCACCTCGCCCAGCTAGTTTTTTGTATTTTTTAGTAGAGACAGGGTTTCACCGTGTTAGCCAGGATGGTCTTGATCTCCTGACCTCGTGATCCACCCGTCTCAGCCTCCGAAAGTGCTGGGATTACAGGCTTGAGCCACCGCGCCCGGCCCGAAGTTGTATTTTATGCGCGCTAGGAGAGTTGGCCATTCAGAGAAGCCCCATGCTAGGTCATGTTGTAGTCTTAGTAGTCACTCCTCAGTTGCTCAGATTTTTACATACTCCCTTTCTTTTGGTCATCAATGGGTAGGGTTGGGGGTAGAGTAAGGATGGGCAGTTCCAGGGCTCTCCCCTGTGTATCCTGGAACCTGAGATGTGGAGGCATGAAAAAATATGCCTGACAATGTCAGAGGAGAGGGATGGCATGGAATGGGAGGCAAGGTAGGGAGAGAGCATTCCTTCCTTGGGGGAAGAGAAAGAGTTGGGTTTGTAGTTATAATGCATTTTCTTTGTAGGAAACTTTAGAGAATTTAGATAGACAAAAACAAAGACCAAGCCAGCTGCAGTCGATCACACCTGTGATCCCAACACTTTGGGAGGCCAAAATGGGAAGATCACTTGAGGCCAGGAGTCTGAAACCAGCCTGGTCAATATAGCAAGACCCCGTCTCTACAAAATAAAAATTTAAAAATTAGCCAGGCATGGTGGTGTGTGCCTGTAGTTCCAGCTACTGGACAGTCTGAGGCAGGAGAATTGCTTGAGCCCAGGAGTTCGAGGCTGCAGTGAGCTATAATCACACCACTGCACACCATCTTGGGCGACAGAGTGAGACTCTGTCTCAAAAAAAAAAAAAAAAAAGACCAAAATCCCTTGTAATTTCACTACCACAGATAACCACATAGAAACGTTCAATGTAGTTTTATTTCTTTTCATAAATACAGTGTACATTTTAACAAAAATGGGGATACACTGTATACAAGGTTTGTAACCTCCCTTTTCCACTTACCAACTTGTCCTAAAGAGAGAGTTTGTTTTCTTTTCTTTCTTTTTTTTTTTAATGGGACATCACTCTGTTGCCTAGGCTGGTCTCGAACTCCTGGGCTCAAGTGATCCTCCCATCTCAGCCTCCCAAGTAGCTGGAACTGCAGGCATGCACCACTGCACCCAGCATGAAGGGACAGTTTGAATTTGGACAGGGAGTGATGGTGGGAGCCCAGGATGGCAGAGGGAGGCCTTGCTGCTAACGAAGACTAGTGTAATCCAGTCTGGCCAGAGGTGGGAAGGGCATGTGGGAGGACAGTGGAGGTCAGATCAGGGAGGGAAATCAAGGCGAAATGGTGCAGTGCCTTGAATGGCAGATCTTGGGGTTTGAACTTGATTTCTCATGATGTTGTCACTATGAGTTACTGCAGCTTTTGGAGGGAAGCCAGGCCTGAGGAGGGCTGTGCCTGGGGACGAAAGTCTGGCAGCAGTGCATGAGGTCAGCTGGAGAGGGTGAGCTGGAGGCAGGGAGGCCTGGCTGAGAGCTACTGAGGGCCAGGTTCAGATCTGCTGCCCAAGGGGGATCAGGTGGGATGAGGTGAAGGGTCAGAGACACCTCTGGGAAGAGGTTCCGGAGCCATTGCTGGATCCTTTGGAGCCACAGGCAGCCGTTCTTCCTGGGCAGGAAGGAGCTCTGTCCAGCTGCTGATTTCTAGGCCTGTCATCTATTCAGTCTTAACCTAATTGCAGTACAAAGAATGAGATTAATTTATTTGCTATTTTGAGCTGGGCATGGTTGCCCACAACTGTAATCCCAGCACATTAGGAGGCTGAAGCAGGTGGATCACCTGAGGTCAGGAGTTCAAGACGAGCCTGGCCAACATGTCGAAACTGCATTTCTACTAAAAATACAAAAAATTAGCCGGGGGTGGTGGTGTGTGTCTGTAATCCCAGCTACTCAGGAGGCTGAGGCAGGAGAATCGCTTGAACCTGGGAGGTGGAGGCTGCAATGAGCCAAGATTGTGCCACTGCATTCCAACCTGGGCAACAGAGAGAAATTCTGCCTCAATGAAAAAATAAAATAAAAATATTTGCTCTTTTGCATTCATTCCTTTGTCCAGCAAGTACTTCTTAAGAGCTGTGATGTGCCAGGGGCTGTGTTGATGGGAGCAGAGTGGACATCCGTATTTTCATCCCTTTCCTCTCCCCAGGTGCGCAGATACAAGGGCCTCGTGGACTGTGCCAAGCAGGTGCTGCAAAAGGAAGGTGCCCTGGGCTTCTTCAAGGGCCTGTCCCCCAGCTTGCTGAAGGCTGCCCTCTCCACAGGCTTCATGTTCTTCTGGTATGAATTCTTCTGTAATGTCTTCCACTGCATGAACAGGACAGCCAGCCAGCGCTGAGCGCAGGAAGGACCCCAGGTCTTTCCTGGAGGCAGCCTCCTGAAGGAAGATTCAGTCTCCACTGAGAGGTGCTGTCTGGCCCTTCCCTGCGGGCCAGCTGCCCCCAGCAGGGTGGCAGTCTTGAACCCACCCAGCTGGGACACCACCAGAAGGTCCAGGGCTCTCCCCATGAGAGGATCAGAGGGAACGCAGGACGTGGTCTACAGTGAACCAACGACACAGCGAGAAGGAGCAGGAAGTTGCTGTTTCTCCTCTGACCCCAGCCCACACTCCAAAGGAGATACCGTCCTACACCTGTCAGCCCCGTCTGCCCGGAGAACAGAACGCTCCTGGTCTGGATGGGGCTGCTGCTTGAGTGCAGAGGGCTGCAGTAGGCCCTTTGCAGGAGTCAGGTCCCCACACTCGGCCTGTTTTTCCCAACCTATTTAACAGACATTAAAGCTAAACGCACATTCCTTATCTTACTCCATCTCCCCTGGCACATCTGCCTACTCACAAAGTATGACGGAAAGGACTCCTGCCTTCCTCAAATCCCATGTTCTCCATAGCTGCAGCCCTTGGCAGCTCTGCTTCTAGTGCTGGGGGAAACTCTAGGCTGAGCCATTCACTTCCTGGGCCCCATGCCCAGATTTTCGTGTCTGCAGACACACACCACCCAGGCCGTCCTCTCCCAGCACCGGGCTGGTCATGGCCGTGGGGCTCCATGGAAAGCAGTTCCCAGCGCCCGTGCAGGAAGTGGAGGGGCCATGCTGTGGGCAGGCATGGGTGAAGGTGCAGCCTCTCCCCAATCTACCTCACTCGCTCCTCTTTCACCCGGGGCTGGGTCGGCCTTGCTAGGTGAGGAGCTGTCGGCAGGACAGGTGGCATCAGCGCCCACTGCCTGCTCCTCAGTGCAGAGCATGCTGTGGGTGCATCCTCCCCTGTAGCCCCAGAAGGGCCGTGGCTCTGAAGCAGCCCGCTGATGGGGATGGCAGAAGGAAGGGGCGGGCAGGCAGCCTGGTGAGGGCACAGCTGGTGCCTGGGGTGTTACCAGAGCACAGGGACACCCACAGGCGGAGAGGCAGAGGAGAAACCAGTTCCAGGCTGAGGGGAGGTCTCCAGAACATGACCTGCACCCTAACCTCCACCTGCCCGGCCTGTAGGGTTGCTCCGACCTGGGAAGCCCTCCATTCTGCCTCCCTCTCCAGCCTTGGAAGGAGGCACCCACTGGGAGCCGGCGCTGGCCCTGGATGCAGCTGCCTGAATGTATTTTTTATGAAATTCCGTTAAAGCTTCTTCTCTTCATCTCTCCTGCCCATTGGTTTCTTTTGCTGCAGCTGAGCGTTCTCTTTATCCTCCGTTTTCGGTGACCACTTTGGCGGTTCTTTTAAAAGGAGGCGAAAACGCGGGCAGCGCCGGCAGGAGCGGCGGCAGTTCCCCCCATTCTAGGTGCCCTCCTGTCACCCAGGGCAGACGCCGGGCGGTGGACCGGTCCGCGCCACTTCAGGGGCACTCGCAACAACCGACGGCCGCGAGTTGCCCACGGGGCCCCTTTCTCAGGGCTGCCCCTCTGACCTGAAACTCGCTTCGACCATGTCCTCCTTGGAGCGGGAGAGGGTTGTGGCTGGCCCCGGTCCTGCAGCCCCTGCCTCCTCTACCTGGGTTGGGGGAAGGGGGAAAGTGGTGCGACCAGGGCAGATGCTATTCCTCCTCCCACCGGGTCCCCACCACGCCCTCTGCAGGCTCCTCCCACGCCGGGCAGCCCAGCGGCGTCTCCCGGCCCCTGAGCTCCGGGGAGGGCCGGGTGCGGGGCCACGCGCAAGATCGAGGATCCGGCAGGTCCGGCGTGGGCCCGGACAGGGCCGAGGCGCACCGGGTGAAGAGGTGACGAGCCGAGCGAGTTCCGCCTGCGGCTGAGTGGCAGCGTAGCAGGATCCCACGCGGGCGAGGTGGCTTCCGGGGCGGCCTGGAGGCCAGGGCAGTGCCCCGGGGGCCCGGCAGGTGGCGCCGGCGAGCCGACCCTTCCCCGGCGCTGCGCGAGGAGATGAGCTCACGGCGGCTCCCGCAGCGCCGGACGCTGGTTGCGCGCTCCCAGCGGCCGAGCGGCCCCGGGCACGCGCGCGCGCCGCCGGCCCGACAGGTGGGTCCCGGCGCCCACGCCGCCTCTCCCGCCCGCGGGATCCTGGGCCGTGGGCTACGCAGTCCGCCCTGTGCTGCTGGAAGGGGCGTTCTGGGCACGGGGGGAGCGGTCGAGGGCTGGAGACCCTAAAGGCGCCTCCTATGGCCAGAGGGGAGCCTCCGGCGGGAGCTACCTCTCGGGGGCGCATCATCCTGCCCCCCACCGTAAGAGGAAAGCTCCATAATGGAGCTTAGGAATTAGGAGTCTCGAGTGAGTAAAACCGGGTTACAGCCACTCGGGAGCCGGTCCCACCAGTCTGTCCCGGGGAGAAGCTGGCCCGGGTCTAGGGGGCGGACAGGGCGCGGGCGTTCCTACCTACGCAGGCCGGCCCCATCCGGGGGATGCAGCGGCGGGTGTTTAGACCGAAGGACTAGGCAAAAGCCAGAAAGGGAGGGTTGGGGAGAGGGCCTTGGAGCCCTGCTGGGGACAGAGTCGCACCGCTTGGAGTTCCCAGCCTGGCCTTCACCCGGCATCTTAAAGCGTCAGGCCGGTTTATTTAAGCAACCGTAACGTCCGCCCGCACACACCCTGCCCCCGTCCACTCCTGCCTCCCGCTGGGACTGGAGGGTGGGCGCTTTCCTGCTTCAGCTTCTCGCTCTTGTGTAATCCCACAAGCAAGGGGTTTCTAAACTGAGCAGCAGGTGCCTGGCTGATGCCCAGTGCCCGCCAGAAGCCAAGCCTGGTGGGCCGTCAGCCAACCACCGCACGCCACGGACCGCCCTGGAGCCCCCGTCCGAGCGCCGTCAGCCCCGCCCAGGGTCTGCAGGACGGAACCCGCCCTGCGCTCCACACCTGAGGCCGCTCCCTTCGCCTCTTCTCCTCCCCAGGTGCTGTCCTTAGTCCCAGCCCAGTCAAGAGCTACTGGGGCTGGCTAGTCATGGGGGAGCCCAGTAGAGAGGAGTATAAAATCCAGTCCTTTGATGCAGAGACCCAGCAGCTGCTGAAGACAGCACTCAAAGGTGAGCACGGGACCCCTTCCTGAGCTGGGGTCAGGAGCCACAGAGAAGGGCCCCTGTAGGCAGCACCAGAGGCTGAGCCTGGTGAATGCCTCCACCCCTCCCCTCATTCTCTGATGATAGGAATCGGCGATAGGAATCGGAAACGTAATTCTTGAACTGGAAGACAAGCTACATTGAGGCCATTATTTTGGAGTATGAATCAGTCACCTCTCAGACTGTAAAGACTTTTTAAAAAGTTTAACCATAGGGCTAGGCCCCGTGGCTCATGCCTGTAGTTCCAGCACTTTGGAAAGCCAAGGTGGGCAGATTGCTTGAGTCCAGAAGTGCAAGACCAGTCCGGGAAACATGGTGTAAACCCCATCTCTACAAAATAAAAAAAAAAATTGAAAAATTAGCTGGGCATGGTGGCACGCACCTGTGGTCCCAGCTACTTAAGATGCTGAGGTGGGAGGACTGATTGAGCCTGGGGGGTGAGGGTGCCATGAGCCATGATCCTGCCACTACATTCCAGCCTGGCTAACAGAGCGAGACCCTGTCTCAACAACAACAACAAAAAGGTTTAATCATAAAAAAAAGAACACAACTCCTGCCCTTGAAGCGCTTACATTTGAATTGCTCATTTCTGTGCTGCCATAGCCCCGTCTCTTGAATGCATAGCTGCCTGCTTTGAGACAGATGGAGAATATTCCGTTTGCCAGAGGAGCTATAGTAATTGCCCTCGCCTGATGCCTTCCTGCTGTAACACGCAGGACAGAAGTTTGTCTTCAACTAATAATTAGCAGCACCCATCATGTGCCAAGCCGAGCCTGCTGGGAGGCCCCGTGTCTTATAAGAACACTATTTCTGGCCAGGTGCGGTGGCTCAAGCCTGTAATCCCAGCACTCTGGGAGGCTGAGACGGGCGGATCACGAGGTCAGGAGATCGAGACTATCCTGGCTAACACGGTAAAACCCCGTCTCTACTAAAAAAATACAAAAAAAGCTAGCCGGGCGAGGTGGTGGGCGCCTGTAGTCCCAGCTACTCGGGAGGCTGAGGCAGGAGAATGGTGTAAACCCAGGAGGCGGAACTTGCAGTGAGCCGAGATCCGGCCACTGCGCTCCAGCCTGGGCAATAGAGTGAGACTCCGTCTCAAAAAAAAAAAAAAAAAAAAAAAACTTGTGAAACTGCTGTTGGAGGCATGTCCTGGTTAGTATTCCTTCCTCAACCTAGTGCCAGGAAAAGATGTGTTTCCTGAGAAACTACATTCTTACTTTGATTGGTTCCTACCACCCACATAACCCCTCCCCATTTTCTCTGACTGGGCAACAGTCAGCAGACAGACAGCTAAAGCTGTTTGTTTGTATGGTTACTGTCCTCTGTATGGTTTCTTTTCTCTTTTTTTTTTTTTTTTTTGAGACAGTTTCTCTCTTGTTGCCCAGGCTGGAGTGCAATGGCACAATCTCGGCTCACTGCAACCTCTGCCTCCTAGGTTCAAGCAATTTTCCTGCCTCAGCCTCCCAAGTAGCTGGGGTTACAGGTGCCCGCCACCATGCCCAGCTAATTTTTTTGTATTTTTGTAGAGACAGGGTTTCACCATGTTGGCCAGGCTGGTCTTGACCTCCTGACCTCAGGTGATCCACCCGCCTCGGCCTCCCAAACTGCTGGGATTACAGGTGTGAGCCACCACACCGGGCCCTTTGTATTATTTCTTTTTTCTTTCTTTCTTTTTTTTTTGAGACGGAGTCTTGCTTTGTCGCCCAGGCTGGAGTGCAATGGCATGATCTCGGCTCACTACAATCTCTGCCTCCCGAGTTCAAGGGATTCTCTTGCCCCAGCCTCCCAAATAGCTGGGATGACATGAGATGATGCACGAGCCGCCACACGTGGCTAATTTTTGTATTTTTAGTAGAGATGGGGTTTCACTATGTTAGCCAGGCTGGTCTCGTAAACTCCTGACCCCAGGTGATCCACCCAGCTTGGTCTCCCAAAGTGTTGGGATTACAGGCGTGAGCCATTGAGCTCGGCCATGATTTCTTTTTTTTTTTTGAGACGGAGTCTCGCTCTGTTGCCCAGGCTGGAGTGCAGTGGCCGGATCTCAGCTCACTGCAAGCTCCGCCTCCCGGGTTCACGCCATTCTCCTGCCTCAGCCTCCCAAGTAGCTGGGACTACAGGCGCCCACCACCTCGCCTGGCTAGTTTTTTGTATTTTTTAGTAGAGACGGGGTTTCACCATGTTAGCCAGGATGGTCTCGATCTCCTGACCTCGTGATCCGCCCGTCTCGGCCTCCCAAAGTGCTGGGATTACAGGCGTGAGCCACCGTGCCCGGCCTTTTTTTTTTTTTTAATTATACCTTAAGTTCTAGGGTACATGTGCATAACGTGCAGGTTTGTTACATATGTATACTTGTGCCATGTTGGTGTGCTGCACCCATCAACTCGTCAGCACCCATCAACTCGTCATTTACATCAGGTATAACTCCCAATGCAATCCCTTCCCCCTCGGCCATGATTTCTTGTAAGTACCATGCGCTGATTGCACCACTGGAGTCACTGTCCTCTGTATGATTTTTGATCTCTTTCACTTCAAGCATATGAGAGTGCTCTACTCTAAATATCTCAAGTTCTTAGAAGCAGGTGGAGGCAAATGTGATAAAGCAGCAGCTCTAGACTCCCCTCATATCTCTACCCCTAGATCCGGGTGCTGTGGACTTGGAGAAAGTGGCCAATGTCATTGTGGACCATTCTCTGCAGGACTGTGTGTTCAGCAAGGAAGCAGGACGCATGTGCTACGCCATCATTCAGGTTGGGGGTCGGGAGATTAAAGGAAGCTGCTTTGAGGAAGGTGCTTCAGGAGTGGGCAGAAGGCCTGGCCTGCAGGACAGAGATGCACAGGGTCTAGCTCAAAGACATAAAGAGGCATAGGATGGGTGGGGTTGCAGGGGCACCGCCCCCCACCCTTCACCTTCCTCTCCCTGGCTCACAGGCAGAGAGTAAACAAGCAGGCCAGAGTGTCTTCCGGCGTGGACTCCTCAACCGGCTGCAGCAGGAGTACCAGGCTCGGGAGCAGCTGCGAGCACGCTCCCTGCAGGGCTGGGTCTGCTATGTCACCTTTATCTGCAACATCTTTGACTACCTGAGGGTGAGGCCCCGGCAGCCACCCTGGGAGGCGACATGGCCTGTCACCCGAGGCCCAGGTTGGACTGTTCCCCTTGGCCACTAAGCTTGGTGCTCTGACCCCTCCTCTCCCTCACAGGTGAACAACATGCCCATGATGGCCCTGGTGAACCCTGTCTATGACTGCCTCTTCCGGCTGGCCCAACCGGACAGTTTGAGCAAGGAGGAGGAGGTGGGTGGCCCCAGCCCTGGTACAAGCACAGAAGGCTGCGGGATGGACAGTCTGGCTCAGCCGAGTGTCAGCTCACTGCTCACGGAGGCCTTTGAGGACCGTGTCACTTCTGGGGCAGGAGTGTGGGGGTGTCTAAGGCCTGTCAGAATTACAGGACAAGCTACCAGGTCTGGAATTTATCCAATACAGACAGCAGCCAAAACCTACTGGCTCAGCAGCTTCCTTCTCAGTCAGAAAGCCAACCTCTGATGGCAGCTGTGCGAGCCATGGCTAGCTGTGGGTACAGATGGCCCCAAAGCCAAACCAGGGTCAGGCAGTGTGAGGGAGGCAGGAGAGCGGGATGAAGGAGTGGTTTGGAGACAGGCTTCAGTGGAGGCTGGCCAGACGAGGGACCTCAGGAAGTCCCGGCACTCATTTCTTTCTGTGTAAGATGTGGAAGTCTGATAGGAGCCACTGAAAATGCTTTGAGTAAGAGAATGATACCATCAGCACAGCACAGCTGGCTCCTGCAAAACTCTACTAACACTGCAGAGCTGTAAAACCAGTCAAATTCAGATCATTAGTGACAGCTCTGCTTCAATGGTGAAGACGTACCCACTGGATGGTGAGGAGGGAGCAAGGGAATGAGTGTAAAGGCAAGGCACAGCACCTGGCACTTGACAAATGCTGTGTGACAGGCTGACCCTGCCCCAGTTCACTCGTGTTACCCCAACCCCCTGCTGTCCCCTGCAGGTGGACTGTTTGGTGCTGCAGCTGCACCGGGTCGGGGAGCAGCTGGAGAAAATGAATGGGCAGCGCATGGATGAGCTCTTTGTGCTGATCCGGGATGGCTTCCTGCTCCCAACTGGCCTCAGCTCCCTGGCCCAGCTGCTGCTGCTGGAGATCATTGAGTTCCGGGCGGCCGGCTGGAAGACGACGCCAGCTGCTCACAAGTATTACTACAGCGAAGTCTCCGACTAGGCCTCCAGATCAGGTCTTCCTCACCAGCACTGGCCTTTCTTCTACACACCTCTGAAACTGGCAGTGGAGTCTCTGCCTCACCCAAAGACTCTTCCCTTCTAGACTTTCCCATCTCCTGGTGAGATGTTTCCCACTTATGCCATGGTCCTGCCCTGAGCCCCTTTCCCCACCACCTTCCCACCAGGGCCAGGCAGAGAAGAGCAACTCCTAAGAGCCACTGCACTGTGTAACGATTAGTGCAACTACTACCTTGGTGCCTCAGTTTACCCATCTGTAAAATGGGTAAGCATAGCCATTGGGATGCTTTGGGATGTCAATGGGTGGAGGCAGAGCACAAGTCATACTAGAAACTGCTTTTTATACATTTTGTACAAGGACAACTCTGGAAGCAAGCCTATTTCCTCCAGCCAGTTTCAATGAATGCTGCACCACATACTACACCAGTTCAGCGTGAGAATTTTCTAATAAATCTTTTCTAATACTAAAACTGCTTCCTTTTATATCCAAAGGTCCACCCCAAGCTAAGGGAAGAGAAGACGGCTCTGAGTTTCCTGGAGGAAATTCCCAAGTCAATGTGCTCCCTCTTTATAAGGAAATGGGGGCAGAGAGAGCAAGTTCCAGCCTCAAAGAAAGGAGGATTCTCGGATAGTGAACATGCTGCTCCCTCTTTCTCATGAGGCCTGCCCATCCTTACAAAGGAGCCACATCCCTAACCCACAGGGAGCTTTCAGCCTGGCAGTGGCTCACACTGTTTGCTGCGGCAGAGGGCCCTGGGCTCCTCCTGGAGACTCTACCACCAGCGGTAGTGGGCCAGGGCACGGTTGGCCTCTGCCATCTTGTGCATGTCATGCTTCCTCTTGATCACAGGACCCCGGTTATGGAAAGCCTCCAGCAGCTCGTGTGATAGCTTCTCCGGCATCAGTGTCCGCCGGTGCTTGTTCTCCCGGCACTCAGTGATCATCCACTTCATGGCTAGGAAGCGGCGGCGCTGGTCGGGTAGGGGTACAGGGACCTGGGGAGACAGGACATAGGCAAGTTGGTCCAAGAGTCTGCCAGGGTTTGGGGCCTCCTGCCTCCCTGAATTCTAAGGAGTAGCCACACGTTCCCTCTGGACCAGCCCTGGTCAGGCCTGGTGAGAAGGGCCTGTCTTTTCTTCTTTGAGCTTCCCTCACCTTCAGGTGACCCCAGTGCAGCAGACATAAGAGGCGTTCATTCAGCAAACACTCATTAAGCACTGGTCTCTTCAGGCACAGTGGCTCACACCTGTAATCCCAGCACTTCGGGAGGCCGAGGCAGGAGGATTGCTTGAGCCCAGGAGTTCAAGACCAGGCTGGTCAATATAACAAGACCTTGTCTCCATATATCGAAAAGAAAAATAAGGCCAGGCGTGGTGGTGCACGCCTGTAATTCCAGCACTTTGGGAGGCCGAGGCAGGCAGATTACCTGAGGTCCGAAGTTCGAGACCAGTCTGGCCAACGTGGTGAAACCTCGTCTCTACTAAAAATGCAAAAGTTAGCTGGGCGTGGTGGCAGGCGCCTGTAATCCTAGCTACTTGGGAGGCTGAGGTAGAATTGCTTGAACCCAGGAGACAGAGGTTGCAGTGAGCCAAGATTGCACCACTGCACTCCAGCCTGGGCAACAGAGCAAGACTTCGTCTCAAAGGAAAAAAAAAAGAAAAGCACTGGCCATTTTCCCTCCTAAATGGTAGTCCTACCAAGTTGTTATAAGAACCAAACAGGAAAAGCCCCATTAGCTGGGGTGACTTATCTGCCTCAGACCATAGGTACCTAAAAACAAGACCCCTTCAGTCTTCAGACACAGCAAAACCCTCTACTAAAATACAAAAATATTCTACTAAAAGTACAAAAAAATTAGCTTGGCCTGGTGGCGGCCACCTGTAATCCCAGCTACTCGGGCTGGGTGGTGGGGGGTGGGGTGCAGGGGCTGAGACAGGAGAATCTCTTGAACCTGGCAGGCGGAGGCTGCAGTGAGCCAAGAGCCGAGATTACGCCACTGCACTCCAGTCTGGGCAAGAGTGAAACTCCATCTCAAAAAAAAAAAAAAAAAGTTAAAAACAAAAAAACAAGACCCCCTGTCCAAAAATAATTTGCTAGGCCTTCACTATGTGTCAGTACCATGCCAGACACGAGAGTGCAGACAATAATGAAGAAGTCCCTACCCCATGGAGTTGACACTGAAAAAGGAGAACACCAGAAAACTCAGGACAATACAATGTAATTAAATGCTATGAAAGAGGTACCTAGTAATGCTCAGCAAACACGGATGAAGCATCAGTTATGGGTCAAGCACTATGGCAAACACTGGCATACGAAGATAGGATATGAATAGTCCCTCACCATGAGAATTTTACAGGTTAGGACACACAGGATGCTTGACAGAAGAAGGTAAAGGGAGGTGGGCTCCCAGATGTTATTTAGGTACTTTTTGCTCTCTTCCATCTTCTGCCTATAATTTTTCTGCTATAGGACTCAGACGAGTGGACCATGACGGTCTCAATCTTTTCTTTTTTTTTTGAGACGGAGTATTGCTCTGTCGCCAGGCTGCAGTGCAATGGCGTGATCTCGGGTCACCGCAACCTCCACCTCCTGGGTTCAAGCGATTCTCTAGCTTCAGCCTCTCAAGTAGCTGGGATTACAGACATGCGCCACCACGCCTGGCTAATTTTGTATTTTTAGTAGAAACAGTGTTTCTCCATGTTGGTCTCCAACTCCCAACCTCAGGTAATCCACCGGCCTTGACCTCCCAAAGTGCTGGGATTATAGGTATGAGTCACCATGCCCAGCTGTTTTTTTTTTTTTTTCCTGAGACAAGCTTTAGGGCGCAATCACAACTCACTGCAGCCTTAACCTCCTGGACTCAAGTGATCCTCCTACCTCAGCCTCCTGAGTAGTTGGGAGCACAGGTGCACACCACCACAGCCGGCTAATTTTTTTTTTTTTTTTTTGTAGAGATGGGGTCTCCCTATGTTGCCCTGCTGGTCTCTAACTCCTGAGCTCAAGCTATCCTGCATTAGGCTCCCAAAGTGCTGAGATTACAGGTGCAATCCCACTGCACCAGCTAGAAAGCTATCAATCTTGACCCAACTCCCAAGTACCACCTATCTTGTTTCACATGTGAGGGATCCTGCTTTCTTGCCCTGGCCATTCATTCACCTGGTAGAAACGGCCTCCCTTGAGGATGGGTACCAGCCCAATCACAGGCTCACAGTTTTTCAGTGCTTGGTGGAAGATGGTGTAGGGGTTGCGTTCGATGGTTGCCTGTTCCTCTGCAGAAGCGGAATGGTACTTCTCAAATTGCTTCCTTTTCACAGCTTCCAGAGTCTGCAAAAGAATGCAGTGGAAGAGGCTGCCCCAGGCTCCCTAAAGGGTTTACCCAGCCAAGCTAGTACCTTGGCCTTTACTCCAATCCTCCGGTTCTGCTATGGCAATGCAGCTCCTCTCACAGCACATCCAAAACAAAGTTTTAAGTGCCTCCCCCTTTGCTAGACTAGGACAAAAAGAGTGGACTGAGATTTGTGGCGTGGAGGGGGGGTGAGTGAGGTGGGGAATGGCAGTTGTTTTATTTTCCCTTTTTTTGTAATTGTGTGTTTATTTCCGAAACACCAAGGAATGGCAGTTGTTGACTCCTACAGGGCTTCATTAAAGCCCGTACACATGCAGGGAAATTAATCTTAATAATAGGTATATGAATCCATTTCCTCTTAAGCTACACTGAAAGTACCAAGTATAAGGCTACGGGGTGGGGAGCAAAAGAAAGATGACTGAGGAGGGAGGTGCTGTTTACCTGAGTCACGAGGGATCTGGCCAGTACTTTGTTTCCTCCTTTCATCATCATGTTGGTGAATTTACTTCAAAGAGAAAAGCAACATGTTTAGCTCTCCAAGGCTGTATCACGGAATCCTCACAAGAGACCCTCCCTGGGATAGTCCCAGTCCATGTAACAGATGTTTGTTTCCATCTAACCTGATGACTGGGTCTTCAAACACAGAACTTGTTTTCCCTGCTGGAGCAGCTTTGATGAGCTGAGTCTTCTTGAGCTCCCGATCATACTTCTCCTCCTCAGTTAGCTCCTCCACAGGCTTACGATAATATTCCTTGTCAATCAAGGGATCCCTGAATTCAGGACTATAGCGGCTCCACCTCACCTGAGTTAACCTAGGAAGGGGAAGAGGAGGAGACAGGCAAAAGCTGACTCCACAAGCGAGTAGGTTTGACTTAACAATAGGCATGGCTGCCAACGTGCCGAATACGGAGAGCGGCGCGGAGACTGCGAGCTAAAACTGAGCCACAACAATTCAGGCCCTTGTCCCAAGAAGTAGGACATCCCTCAAGCAGGCGGGTCAAGTCTCCTCCTGGTCAAGTGCTAACGGTAAGGATGGTCTTGGCGCCTACACATCCTTCCCAATTCACAGGCGATCCCAGCTCTGAGCTCTTTAGCTGAACCGCACTTTCAGCTCCGCGTTAGACCCTAGATCAGCCAGACCCCTTAGGCGAGAGGTCGTCACTAAACCTTCAGATTGGCCCAGGGTCACGCAGCTAACTTATAAGCTTGAATCCAGATACTCCGGCCCCCAGGACAATGCTCTCTCCAGGGCCCCACGCGGCCTGCCTGTGACCCCCTTCCTTCCTCCCAGGTCCCTTCGTGTAGAACCAAGCGGCGCCCCCCGCTGCCCACCGCCCTCTCACCCTGGAAGCTGCAAGACAGCGCGCCGCACGCCCAACGCCAGGCCCGACCATCCTCGGGCAACCTTCACTGCGAGGGCAGCCATCTTGGCTGGTCACGAGGACCCCACAAGGACTGCCCTCGGCGCGCCTGAGCGAATGACGCGAAACGGGTGACGAAGACTCCTCAGGGTCCTAAATCTGCGTTTCTCTCCACTGATCTGGACGTTAGAGTTTCTCACTCTGGGGTCCAAAGGGAAGAGCCAAAAGGAAACACTTGCCCTCCCAATATCTGTCGCAGTCTGGCGCGGCCCTCGGTGACGGCACTCACTCCTCTCAGGCCCCCATGCAGGCCCCGCCCCGCCTCAGCTCGTGCAGACTCTCGCGAGTTTTGAGGCCGCGGGGCCGGCCCGGGCGGCTGCAATATGGCGGAGGCGGAAGGGGAGAGCTTGGAGTCCTGGCTGAGTGAGTAGCCGCGGCCGGTTCTGGCTGCCCTCGAGCCGCTGGGCTGCCCCTCTCTTTACCCCCACGTCCCCTCCTCGGGCTCCACGGCTTCACCTCTTAGCAGTTCACGCTCGGGCTCGCCCTCGCCGCGAACATCATGCTATCACGCCCCTTCCCTATCAGGGCGCCGGGGCCCCTGCCCGGCCCCCGCTTCCCTAGCTGCGGCTCGTCCTCTTGCTCTGGCGCGCGGCGGCGTGAACTCGGGGTCCCGTTGGGCACCGCAGGCTCGGGGGAAGGCGACAGCCACGATCTTAGGGCTGACATGCATCGGCGCTTTGGGGAGATTGTGGTGGGGTCGCCGCCCGGCGGTGACTCCAGGAACCCAGCGCCCCAATCCCTGACTAAGGGAAAAGCTTCGGATTGGGGCTGAATCTCTGGTAGTGGTGGGTGCTGCCGACTGCGTTCAGTCGCCTGGCAGCTTCAGAATTGCGACCATGTGTTGAAGAAGTGACGGCTTCGCTCAGGCAGATTGCTTGAAGTGAGAATAATATTTCAAAGAGAGCGACGATAGAGAGCAGAGAGCTCTACCTTTTTCCTGCAGTGACCACAGAAGCATGGTGAAATCGGTATCAAGGACTCCCCCACCCCGCACACGTACATATACCCCTTTGAACATCCTAACGAGTCAGTGTTGATAGCCTATTCTGAGTAAGGCCGAGGAGCACAGTCTGAAGCTGTAGTTATAGAGGCATATTGCTGTCATTGCACTGTGAATTACAGTGCTACGAAGGAAATGTGTGTTAATCTGGTTAGCAGGTAGTACTCGGCCTGAGGGTTAATAAGTGAACTTTTCTATAGGCTAGACCTGGAAGCCTCCTTGAAGTGGAGAGAAAAATTGGATTGGTAATGGGATAGGCGAGATACCTAGTACTGCCTCGTTCTGAGGTCTCTTATTTAGTACTGCTTCCAGGATCTTGGAGGTGATAGCTATTTCCTTAAATTGTCTGATTTTTCCTAGTAAGAAACCCCCTTCAGGAGGTTGAGCTTCAGTTTAAAGGGGAGCATATCCCAAAAGAGAAAAAAAGTAAGATTACGTTTGCCAAATCTACAGTTGCAGGCAGGTCATAAGGCTTCTTTATATATGGAACTGTTCTCCAAGGAGCTCAAAGTACTTTACAGATATTCATTAAATTCGATTATCAAGTATCCTAGCAAAGCAGGTACTACTGCCATCATTTCACAAAAAGAGGACATCCTGACTCCTATCAAACCACTTGCCTAGAAATGCCTAACTTGCTATAACCACAGTGGAATTAGTTTGCTTTGAAGATATTAATATGGGTATTGAATAGTTTAAATGACCTAAGCTGAGTTTAATAGGCTACATTTAGAGTTACATTTTGTTTTTGTTACTTGGTTTTGAGACAGAGTCTCGCGCTGTTGTCTAGGCTGGAGTGCAGGGGCGCGATCATAGCTCACTGTAGCCTTGAACCCCTGTGCTCAAATAAGTCTCCTGCCTCAACCTCCCAAGTAGCTGGGACTATAGGCACACGCCACCATGCTTGGCTAATTCTTTTGATTTTTAGTAGAGATGAGGTCTTGGTATGTTGCCTATGCTGGTCTCAAACTCCTGAGTTCAAGTGATCGTCCCACCTTTCCCTTCCAAAGTTCTGGGATCACACACGTGAGCCACGTGAGCCACTGCACCCAGCCTAGAGTCACATTATGAAATGAGAGGGACACTTGGTTGTGGGGGAGTCACATGCTATCTGTAGAGACACAAGCTTCACAGTTGTTAGGACTTAATGATGTTAACTGTACCAGTTGAGCAAACCAGCAGTTGGGGTTCAGCATCATCTCACTCAGGGTCCTTGTCACCCCACGTTTGCCTGAATGGTTGCAGAAGCCTCTGCTTGGCCCAGAGACTCAGGTCTCTCCCGTCCTCACCTCTCCTCAGTCCATTCTGCTCCCAGAAGCGTGCTTGTGTTGAATCAAGTCATTCCACTGTTGCCTGTAATCTGGCCTTGGTTGTTCCAGGCCTTTTTTTCTGTGGCTTCCACGTTTTTCTCCTCTGCTCAGTCTGATGTTCTTAGCTTACCAATACACATTGCTCTCCTTACGTGGAAGCCCTGCTCCCCTTTCCTCAACTAAATGCTTGAAAAACCACCTCAGATTCTCTTTTCTCACAAACCATCTCTTGATGACTTCAGTCTTCTCTCAAGTCCCACCGTGATCAGTCAAACAGTGTTTAATGAGTACCTGCTATGTGGGGTGTTATAGGAGTTGGGAAGTTTAAGAACATTTTGCGGCCGGGCGCAGTGGCTCATGCCTGTAATCCTAGCACTTTGGGAGGCTGAGGCGGGTGGATCACGAGGTCGGGAGATCGAGACCATCCTGGCTAACACGGTGAAACCCCGTCTCTATTAAATGTACAAAAAATTAGCCGGATGTGGTGGTGGGCGCCTGTAGTCCCAGCTACTGGGGAGGCTGAGGCAGAATAATGGCATGAACCCGGGAGGTGGAACTTGCAGTGAGCCAAGATCACGCCACTGCACTCCAGCCTGGGTTACAGAGCGAGATTCGTCTCAAAAAAAAAAAAAAAAGATTTTGCCTTTAGTTGGATGGAGGTTGATGCTGGAGTGGATAAAGAACTCTTAAAAGATAAAGATACAAGGCAGTGCTAAAATGCAGGCATTCTCTTTAGGGAACTGGGGATGGGGGAACAGATGATTCAGTGAGGATACTGCATTTGAGCTAGCCATTAAAGAATGGGAAAATTTGGCGCAAAAAAAACAAAAAAAACACTAGATGGTGATGTAGAGAGAGCAAACCTGTTTGGGGCACGCAGTAACAGAGGGGTTTGGAAATGAGGGAAGATAAGGCTGGGAGGTTAAGACCAAATTCTACCAAGTCTCCAATTTCCAGCCCAAGAAGTTTATTTTATTTATTTATTTATTTATTTGAGACAGAGTCGCTCTGTCACCCAGGCTGGAGTGCAGTGGCACAGTCTTGGTTCACTGCAACTTCTGTTGCTTGGGTTCAAGCGATCCTCCAGCCTCAGCCTCCCAAGTAGTGGGACTTGGGAGGTGCCAAGTGGCACTACTGGTATGTGCCGCTACAACTGGCTAATTTTTGTATTTTTAGTAGACATCGGGTTTCGCCATGTTGGCCAGGCTGGTGTTGAACTCCTGACCTCAAGTGAGCCACCTGCCTCAGTGCCCTCCAAAGTGTTGGGATTATAGACATGAGCCACTGCGCCCGGCCCCGCCAAAGAAGTTTAAATTTCTGCAGTTATCAGGACCTCATTCTTTCTGTACTAGATGAAATCAGTGTTTTGGTGTCTTTTTTTTTTTTGAGACGGAGTCTTGCTCTGTCGCCCAGGCTGGAGTTCAGTGGCACAATCTCGGCTCACTGCAAGCTCCGCCTCAGGTTCATGCCATTCTCCTGCCTCAGCCTCCCAAGTAGCTGGGACTACAGGCGCCCACCACCACGCCCGGCTAATTTTTTTGTATTTTTAGTAGAGACAGGGTTTCACCGTGTTGGCCAGGATGGTCTCGATCTCCTGACCTCGTGATCCGCCCGTCTCGGCCTCCCAAAGTGCTGGGGGATTACAGGCGTGAGCCACCGCGCCCGGCCTGGTGTCTTAAGAGTCTTGATTTGATATAAGGACTTTACATAGGATTAGGATGGATTAGAATGGAAGTTCTAGAAGCAGGTGAGAAGGAGTGGAAGATAGGGATAAGGAAGGAAGGGATTTAAAAAGACATTGAGAAGGAAAGGACCACAGGACTGAGAGGAATGGATGAGGAGAGAGGGAAGAAGGAGTCAAAAAAGAGGTGGGGGCCTAGGGGACTTTTGGAAGGTGGTACTATTTATAGGAATAGTGACTTAATAGGCCACATACAGTGGCTCATTCCTGTGGTCCCAGCTACTCAGGAGGCTGAGGTGGGAGGATTGCTTGAGCCCAGGAGTTGGAGGCTGCAGTGAGCCATGATTGCCTACTGCAGCCTGGGGCAATAGAGTGAGACCCCTATCTCTAAAAAAAGAATTAGCACACTCCTGTGGGTGGTCCCAGCTACTTGGGAGGTTGAGGTGGGAGGATCACTTGAGCCTGGGAGGCAGAGACTGCAGTGAGCCGTGATGGAGCCCCTGCACTCCAACCTGGGTGACAGAATGAGACCCCATCTCAAACAACAACAAAAAAAAACGAAAGAGTCCAGGCACTGGGACTCATACCTGTAATCCCAGCACCTTGGGAGTTCGAGGCAGGCGGATTGCCTGAGCCTAGGAGTTCAAGACCAGCCTGAGCAACATGGCAAAATTCTGTCTCTACCGAAAGTACACAAAATTAGCTGGGCATGATGTGAGTGCCTGTGGTCCCAGCTAGGCTGAGATAGGAGAATCATCTGAGCCTGGGAAGTTGAGGCTACAGTGAGCCATGATCACACCACTGCACTCTTGCCTGAGTGACAGAGTGAGACCCTGTCTCAAAAAAAAGAAAAAGGAAGAAGAAATAGGGAAGTCAGGAAAGAGAAGTGATGCTTTTTTTTTTTGAGACGGAGTCTCACTCTAGTCACCCGGGCTGTAGTGCAGTGGCACAATCTCAGCTCATTGCAACCTCTGCCACTTGGGTTAAAGTGATTCTCCTGCCTCAGCCTCCCAAGTAGCTGGATTACAGGTGCCTGCCACTTCGCCTGGCTAATTTTTGTAGTTTTAGTAGAGACAGGGTTTCACCGTCTTAGCCAGGCTGGTCTTGAACTCCTGACCTCGTGATCCACTCACCTCAGCCTCTCAAAATGCTGGGATTGCAGGTGTGAGCCCGGGCCATACATTTGTTTTTAGACTCATTTCTGTACCAAATTAGACCAATTGTCTACTGTCTTGTG